ATTTGCGAATTGGAAGTGAAGTCATTTGCACGGAATAAACTTGCACCATTTGGTTTCCATTTTAAGAGCGAAGAGGCCGGCGTTTCCAACGAGACGTCCCCCAAACCCAAAAATACCGCAGACCTGGTGGTAACAGCCGAACGAAGGAGGTGGGTGCTACAACCTCAATTAGCCCAAAGTTTCGGGGGCGTGCATTCTGCAGAACAGGACGGGAACCTCGTCGTCGAGCCAGGGTGAATAGTCCAACAAAAACTAAAATCTCTTCCTAGTAATTTTTTCTTGATGAGATTACTTTTACGAACCAAGCCATTTGCTTCCACGCCGAAAACTGATCACAGACAGTTTACTCTGCTGAAGAATTCAATTTCAGGTGATGATTTGATTTCGGGATCATTAAGCTAACTTCGCGTAACTGCCTACTTATTTCGTGGTAATAAGCAAGTTTTCTCACCACAAAGGTACGACACAGCGTGTCCATATTGCACTCACCAAACGGATTTCTTCAGCGTCCTGCGGTCACTTTTAGTCTTATAAGTTTAAGTTTAATTCTAGTTTTCTTTAGTTTGGTTAAATTCGTTTTTTTGGCGACATGCGGTTGTTCTAGGTTCAGCGTACAACAACATCTGTCCAAATGCATGATAGGCTATTGTGTTTTCAAAAATGGAGAAAGAAGCCTAGCTTCATGGTTTTACTTTAAAATATAAAATTCGATGAAGAGTCGACATACGATTTTTTCCAATTCGCGGGTAACATTGAGTAGTTCTTTTTTTCATTGTTATTTTAGCCTGTCAAATATTAGGTTATCTAAATAATTATTCCTATTATTTATATCTTTTATAGGCCCTTCTTTTTAATTATTTTTTTCTTTTTCCACCCACCGGACCGTATTACATAATGCTTAGGTTCAAGCTTGCTGTAGTGAGTCCTACATCGGACTTTTACTCAACGTCCTATCAAGTGCCACTTTAAACATTGATATCCCTAATCCTGACCAACCGTTTTGTTTTCTAAGGACTTCTCCGAGACTGAGCCGGAAGAAATCACACAGGAAGGAGCATGACGTAAGTCTATTGCACTTCGACTGCGAAACCCGGACAGTACGAGCTTTTTCTTGGGCGTTGCATTAGATAATTGCAATATCCTATTCCTGCCGATATAAATGTCCGACCTGAAGCGAAGGATGAAGCCAAAGGCCTATATTCGGATGATTCCAGTTCTATTAAGCACGTCTAACCCACCTAATCGACCAGATACATAATCTGCAATCGTACGATTGTGTCTTCAATTATGTACTAGACTAGGGATTTGTTTCAGGTCTTTTTGGCCATGATTGTCACGCGCGTGAAATGCATTGTGGGATTGTATTTCTATTTTTGTATCGCCGCATCCTGGCATTTAGTTCTAGCGGTGTATTCATAAAGTTGCGTTCTATTCACCAACAAAATTCTCACTGCCTGCCGAGCTATAGCAGGAGAAGACAGCTGATTAATCCGTCTTTACATACTTCAACCCATTTATTCATCCTCACCCTCTTCCATAAAGCGGAAATATCCTGTGGAAGACCAACATGCTATGTCCTATGTGACCTCGATTATTATGAATTGCATAGTGGGAGGATGCGTCCTAACCAACTCGCTGATGTCCTGCTGATGGACAGCGAAAGCTAATGACAAATGCCCATGAACAACTTATTTCTTCGTTGGTTTTCGGTCAGTCACGCACCAGATCGCGGAAAAGCATCCGTCGTCCCTTCTTCCGTGTCGTTAGGAAAGGCGCTGACATCAGCTCTTCCTTTACTTTAAACCAGACCACTCTCCGTCAATCGATTACTTTTTTACCAGCGGGAAGTCAAGTCAAGTCAAGTCAAGTCAAATTTATTAAGGGAAATATAGGCAAATGCCTTTGAACTCCCTCTTGGTACATAGGATTTAAGA